AAGTAAGTGAGCCTAATTACCAGAGGATTGTGCATTTCTATGGCGACACTATCACCTGCAAAATGAATCTGCAGTGGTCAGATGGTACAGCGATTATGTTGTGGTACCAATAGGTGTGTTCGACTTCATGCTGCGAAGACCGAAGCAGTGCGTGACGGTTCTTCTTGTTCTTCTTCGTCTTTTTTTTTTCCCAGGCCCTGGCCCTGACCATGGCCGCTTCCCTGGACCTGGCCCTGACCATGGCCGCTTCCCTGGCCCTGGCCCTGACCATGGCCGCTTCCCTGGCCATATCCGCTTCCCTGGCAGCTGCCCAGGCCCTGGCCGCTTCCCTGGCCCTGGCAACTTGCCTGACCTCTTGCCTGACCATGTGGTTCACTGCATGCAAAGCCACCGGTGGTTGGGCAACATTTCTGTGTGGCAGGACACTGGCCATCATGGAAACAGCTTTCAGCACACAGTGGAATCATCTCCGGTATGGGACATTGACCCGGCTTCACTGCGTGGACACAGATAGTCAGCTTTAGTTTGTGCATATAGGCAGTATGCCACTTTAATATACAGCACGAAACATTCAAAGCATGAATAGCAAGTTTTACCTATAGAGCGAATTATATTCCAAGTATTAATCCTCTTTATTTTGTAAAGCCATAAATGCTTAAAACTAACCTACGGGATTAATTAAAGCCTAATTTAGACGAGAACAATAGGCAAAGTCTTTGCTTAACTTACATTGAATTCAATGCGTTACGTGTGTTTTTTTTTGGACCCTTAGCATCCATTATTAACAGGAACTCACTGAAAACAGGTGGCACGCAAACAGGCCCACAGTCAAATCGACAGCATTTGAGTCCTCCAGGGCAATCTTTATCAGAAGAACATCCTCGACAGGATGGCACGACAGTCAGCCTCGCCGGACAGAAACCGTCCACTAGAGGATTCAAGAGGATCATTAGAGGAGGCCAAGTAGTGCGGTTTCAGCATTTGTAAGTCATTGGTTTCACAATGTGTCTCAAGCCAAAATACAAATTTTACATATTTGTCTAATTCTTACTTCCTGTTGCGCGCACACGCTCTCAAGTGGCCAAGACTGCAAGTGTGGGTATTTGGACAAGGGGATAATAATTAAGGTAGCCTAATTAAGAGAGGATTGTGCGTTTCTATAGCGACATGATCAACTGCAAAATGAATCTGCAGTGGTCAGGTGGTACAGTGATCATGTCGTGGTACCAATAGGTGTGTTCGACTTCATGCTGCGAAGACCGAAGCAGTGCGTGACGGTTCTTCTTGTTCTTCTTCGTCTTTTTTTTTTTTTTAATTAACCAGAACAAAATTTACAACAGTAATGTACAAGAGTGTGCAAACCATTTATTCAGTAATCAACAACTGTAGGCCCAGGGGCGTAGCGTCTTGTATGCAGGTGCATATATTGTGGGCCCGATCGAGGGGGAACCTTTAATTGAACCGAGGGAATGAATAGAGCCCTGCACGGGCCCGGCCCTTCCCACAGCTTATCAGAATATTCTCGGCCTGAGTCTGACCCGAGCCCGTGTCTTCTCTCTCTCTCTCTCTCTCTCTCTCTCTCTCTCTCTCTCTTCCCTTTCATACAGCTGCTATTGCAGCAAATAGGCTAGTCCAGTTGGTTTTTAATGGCAAAGTGATTATATTTCTTTTCATTTCTTTATTACGTTCATTTAGAAATATGTTTGGAATATTTTATGTTTGTTAAATTCAAGTTGTTGTTTTTTAAAAGTAACACCCAAGCGGCCAGTGGCGGACTGAGTTGAGCATATGTTTGATCAATTTAGCCTTCTCAAATCAACATGACTTGCCTAAAATAAAATCTATAGACATAAAAACACTTCATGCAATTCACAATATTAATTTAACAATTTTACCTAGATAAATGTGTGCTGTTAGACGCATATGCAGTTGTTTGTGCGGAGAGTGGAAGCTGAAGCGCGCGATCACTTGCATTTTTTTTCTTAAGAGTGGAAACTTAACATACGCCGTCATTTTTGCTCAGAAAGGTAAGAGTAATACATCATTCGGAGTTAATTCATGACACATTATAGTAATTGATAGATGTAATGATAAAATTGATAAATGTAAAAAAAATATCTGAATATACTGCACTACATAAAACTATCGCTTGACTTTTGACATTGTTTATAAATTTATTGTAAGTATAAAAATAATATATTTAATACAAAAAACAATTTTGTTGTTCCAGAAAATGTTGACTATGCAAGTATTGTGTATTAAATATTAGTTGGCGTGTAGGGAAACCAACTGTAGCTGGGTTTCCATCACCCTGCTTTTATGCGCATTTTGAAGTATCGCATCAGAATCGAGTGATGGAAACGCAGAATTTCGAATAAAAATGCCTTAATTCACAAAAAAAGTTTTTACGCTCGCTTGAGGTGGTTTTTGACTTGTGCGAAAAAGGGTTAATGCGAATAATGGGAGATGGAAATGCATTTTGCAAAAAAATTCCGCCAAGCGCATCAAAAAAGTCACGTGACTTTGCGCTATGGGCAGGGGCGTGTCTACGTGGTGGCCAGGGGTGGCACCGGCCCCCCCTGAAATCTGGCTGGCCACCCCAGGTGCCCCCCCTACCAGATATCTTGCGATAGGCTTGTTTTTAGTAAATTTCTAACTGCATCTGGCGGTGGCGGATCCTGTGTAGGCAGCTGCCTAGGGCCACTTTCTTCTCTTCTTTATACTTAATTTTAG